GAGGGGGGTAAAAAAAGAAGACTCTGAAAATGCCGTTTCCAACGATCTAGAGGCTCTAAATTTTCAAAATTTCCCTGCTCGACGCCAACCATGGTAGCGCCGCGTGGGAGTGGGGCCCACCAAGGTTAACAAGCTTCTTACCCCCTGAGCATAGAATAAGAAATGAATAGAAGGGCAACTCACGTGTGCAACGCGTCCGTAAATTTTTATGCGCATGCGTGAGGTCCGCCATTACTCTGGCCAGTAACTGGCTGCTGGCGTACTATAGAATATATAGCGAAAGAAGATGTTTGGGCTGGAAAATCGCGTTTTTTGACCATGTTTATCAACGACTGTGGGAATTTTGTACAGAAATCGAAATATATAAGGTAAGACATAACGACTGGGCCGTTTGCAGGAATTTAGATACTTTTCTCGAGCAAAAATCAACATTTTATACAACAATGCAGTTCGATACAATTATATTTTGTGTGAAGTTTATATGAACACTCATCTGAGTCAATTGGCTATCCTCTTCCTAATATTTCCTATGATTTCTTATCAATATTGTCATAAAACAATCATGTTACTATGATAAAAGACATTTGCTGAGCGAAATAGTGCTTTATTAAATAGTAAAACTGCATGTCGATCCAGATCCTAATAAATGAAGAATGATTTCTATTTCGTTCTAGCTTATATGCAGTGATTACTTTAGGTTCAAATTATAAATCCTATTTCATGGAGTTTTAAAGCATTTACCAGAAATTTTGAGATGCATTTTTTGTAAAGTGTCAATATTTGCAAGGTTTATATTTCATTGCTGCCCTACTACATGGGTTTTTAAATTTTATTTCAATTTATTTAATTGTCATTAGTGTACATGTCACCTACACAGCAGCAGCTGCTGACCTTGCTATCACTTTGTTTTCCTTTTAGTTTAATTGCAGCTGATCCCGTTTGCTTCTTTCATTTCGATACCCCATTATCAATACCATATTGCTCATAAGATGGATGCATGTATTGATTTATGTATGAACAGCATTAATATAATTAACATAGCAATTGTATAACAGCTATAACTAATCAAATGATATCATATTTTTAAAACTTAGTAAATGAGTGGACTATTATATTATTGTATAGTATTAAATGAAATAACATTTGAATATGAAAAGATACAATTGATTTGTGACTTGTGTTGGTGATTTTAATATTGTATATACTATAGTGTGCATTTTGTGTCCTAAATAAAAATGATACATACAGTGGTGTACACAATTTGGTCTGAAAACTGCACTTAAATGTCATATAATATATATCTGCCATGGTGATGCCACCACTTACAATACAGTGTGTATATATTTACTTTAAAACCTCAGGTTCCCCTACTTAACTGAGGGTTCAACCTGGAATCCAGGATTCCTATAACCACCTGAAACACCTGCGTTTAAAGGGCTTGTTCATGCCACGTGCGTTTCTTCTGCGATAGTTCAAAGTTTTTCCAAACAGTTTCCAAAGTGCTTTTCTGCTTATTATAAGTGTTTTTAAAATATGAGTTGTAGTAAAACAAAGCAGAAAGGGGGTAGCAGGACATACTGCTCGGCAGTTAATTGTTCAAATAGCAAAGGATCGCATCCTGAACTAAGTTTTTTTCGCTTCCCTGCTGATAGCAAAAGGTAGGTCCACGTTTTCTGCAGACATGAAAAAATTTGAATGTTTTCCGTTGCTTTGTATATCGATATAATATATTAATTATTTAGATCTAAGGAATGGGTAATACTTACCCGGCGTCAGGATCTGCAAAACAAAACTGCGGACTATCTGTATAGAAATTGCCGTCTATGCGCCATTCACTTCGAAGACTGCATGTTTATAAGTCATCTGAAAAACCGACTAAATCCTCAAGCAAAGCCTACCCTTTTTGACATTCCGAATCCACCGCCAACAGTTGGTCAGAAACGACGATTCGTAGAGAGGATATCTACATCTGACGAAGATATAGTAAAAGGTATTTTTGAGTTTCCAGTAACCGGCTTTACACGTGGAACTTTACTTTTACCCTTTGGTTTATAATGTATATTGGTGACGAATAAGAATAAAAAAATATTTAGTTTTATTAAAAAATATTTAGTAATCAGAAATAACTAATAGAAGTCTTCACTTTTCTGGCTATTAATTTTCGACTATTTTTTACATAAAAAATATTGGTATAGAATATAATACCAGAGACGGATTTTCATATTTTCGCTCGGAGGGGGGGGGGGTGGATAAAAATCTGGGGGTGCTTGGTTTGGCTGGAGCCTGGTGGCAACGCCTGAAAAGGCCAAGGAAAAAGTTGAACAAAAATTTTTCTAGACCTGCATGGCAAGATCTGAGACCATAATATTGGTAATTTTATACAAATTTAGTAGTAAGAATAATCAAATATGAAACTATCAAATCAAAATATATGTAATTTGCGGGGGTGCCAAATGCCTATGGGGGGGGGGGTGCGAATCATTTCCGGGGGGGTGCCCCCCCAGAAAACCCGTGCCTGTTTAATACTGTGCAACTACGAGCTTGACAATGAGTTTTATTCCATAAAAGTATCCACACCGTTTCTTTTCAGAAAAAAGACGAAAGCTGGTAGCAGACGTGGAAGGTAAAAATGTTAACAACAGTTTACTAACAGAGATTATTGCACCTCTGCTCAATTGTATTAGCATTTAAAAGATATAAGTAGTTACATATGATTTACATATTTAAATTAAACAGAACAATCCAGTGATCAAGCTAGGATGATGGTTGACCATAATCCAGTCATTGTCATTGAGGATAATATTACAGGACTGCAAGGTAGAGTAGAAATATAATATTTAACTTCTTGAATACCCATCTCTTCTACAGTACTCCTCATTTTGTCCCCATTCTGGCAATGTATTGGGAAATCCTAAAACATAACCCAAAAAATATTATGGTACAATCTACAAAGAAACTATTATTATAGTGAGAGACTGAGAGTGTATAGAAATGGTACTATACTTTGGCACTGGCTTACTCTTGTTTTTCTCTACTGATACATCCAGACCATCAAGAGGATTTGCAAGAAGCAAAGACTGCAGAATTTTGTGGTCAAACCAGCAGCACCCTTACAACCAACACACCTAGAAAAAAGAGGCAGAGAAAAGTCATAGAGGCAAAAAATAAAAAGATTAGCAGATTGAATAAGAAGCTGAGCAAGGTCATACGAAACAAGAAGACCCAAAAAAGTGCCCTGGATGACGCCCTCAAAAAGCTACCTCCACATTTGGCTGGCTTTGTTAAATTGCAATTCGATCTCCACGCAGCAAAAAAGCATGGCAGGCGTTACTCACCAGAGATGAAATCCTTGGCAATTTCACTGTTTCATGCTAGTGGAAAAGCATATCGTCTCTTGTCCAAACTTTTTATCTTGCCAACACGATCTTCCCTTCGGAACTACATCAGTAAGATGCCAACAGAGGCTGGTATATCACAGGCAACAATCAACACCTTAAAGCAAAAGGTTTCTCAAATGAGTGATATGGAGAAGTTGTGCTCACTGTGCATGGATGAAATTTCATTAAAAACCCACCTATTCTACAGTATCCCCAAAGACAAAATTGTTGGTCTGGAGGATTTTGGTGGTGGATATCGTACCAACAAGGTGGCAACCTCTGCACTGGTGTTGTTGGCACGGGGTATTTCTGGGAATTGGAAACAACCTATAGGTTATGTTCTTGTCAATGGTGCATGTCCCACTGATATCCTAGAAGACGTAATGAAGGAAGCCCTTGATAAGCTGCAACAGATTGGTTTGAATGTCCTAGTGGTGATGTCGGATATGGGTTCTAATTTCCACAGCTTTGCTAATCGAATGGGTGTGACTTGAGACAAACCCTGGTTTACATATAACAACAAGACCTACTTCTTGATGTTTGATCCTCCTCATCTGCTCAAATGTGTTCGAAACAACCTCATGAAGTACGCCTTCAAGTTTAATGGATATGTTGCTGTATGGAATGATGTGGAAAATTTCTACGAGAAGGACATTTCCCTCACCATTCGAGCTGCCCCAAAATTAACCGAGAAGCACATTCACCCAAATAATTTTGCAAAGATGAGGGTAAAATATGCAACACAAGTCCTAAGCCACACAGTTGCAGCTGCCATTTGCACCTATGTTAGTGTCGGAGGTCTCCCTTCATCTGCTATGGGAACTGCAGAACTGCTTTCAAGATTTGATTCCATTTTTGATTGCTGTAACAGTTCCAGATTACACACAACCAAGAAACTCCGGTGTGCAGTCAATGAGAAAACATCACACATTGAGTATCTAAAGGAAAGCATCACATTCATCAAGAATTTGAAAGTGTTTCAGGGTGACAAAGATGTGACAGGTCGGATTAAATGTCTTCATGGCTGGTTAGTTACTATCAATGCATTAATTCTAATCTGGAGCAAGTTAAAGTCCAACCATCAGTTCAAGTTCCTCTTTACTAGAAGGTTAAATACTGACCCTTTGGAAAACTTTTTTGGCACTATCAGGCAGCAAGGGGGTAATAGTGATAATCCCACTCCAGTCCAGTTTACAAGGGCATTCAGGAAACTCTTTTTTAGCTCCCTTCTCACTTCCTCAGCTGGAAACTGTGCAGCTGACTTCGACGTCATGCTGGCTGAGTACACCAATGCTTCGAAGAAAGCCAAAAAGAAATCTAAGAACAAAACAACAGAGCCCAGTGAAACTCCACAGCCCCAAACCTTGGCAATAGGTCCTACAGACTACAGGGAGCCAGAAGTTAGCACAAACATTATACAAGACAATGCAATTGCTTATGTCGCTGGATACCTTTTGAAGAAGAGTTTCAAAATCCACAAGTGCCAAAAATGTCAGGATGCTCTTTTGTCCAACCAATTGGATGACAACCGAAATCTTCTCTGTTTTTTCAAGTCATTTGAAGATAACAAAACTCCCTTTGGTGGATTGAATGCACCATCACACTGTTACTTGGAGTATGTTATTAAACTTGAAGATGTGTTTTCAGATCAATTTTCTGTTTACACAAAGTGCCCTGGTGTTGGAGCCAACATTTTGACGAAGATCAAAGCCATTCCCATCACCTTCCAATGCTGTCCAGAATTTTCCCTTGAATATTTGCAGAAGCTGTTTATAAGAATGCGAATATACTACAGCATAAAATTTGCCAACAGAGACTTAGCCACATCTAAACCAAAGGACAGAAAATACATCAAAGTCACACATCTTTAATAATTACTGCTCTGGTTATACAAGACTGGATTGTATTAAAATATAGCCTTAAATGACTATAAAAAAGTAAAGTTACTGTTCACGAGCCAAACATTTCGACACTCTTCTTAATAGTTTAGGATATTGAGGCACAATAAGGATGTCCATGTATGATTTGTTATTCAATCACTGCTAAAGATAGGCAGATTAAAACTACTGTCTGCTATTGTACGATAGGCGATAGCTACTGGGTTCGGTTCTCCATGAACAATATCGAAGAAAAAAATGCGCCTACGAGCATTTAGTTTGACTTTTAAATAAATAAATTGAAATTACATACCTTCTCCTTGAATGCTCTGGTCATTAAAACCAAAATTTTGAACATAAACTCCCACGGTATGCTTTTAAAACGAAAATATAACCCTCGCTCAATACAATTTATATTTATTCTGGCAGCAAGTTACTGGCCAGAGTAATGGCGGCCGTCGAATTTCCGGTATGCGCGACACGACATGCGCGAGGACACCGACTTCAAAGGATCCGACACTCAGTTGCCCTTCTATTCATTTCTTATTCTATGCCCTGAGTGACCCAGTTGTGGTATTTACATGATAAAAATAACATGCAAGTACACTTAACTGATCAGATTCGGTCTATCAAAGCACAATGTAACGCTGTATATCCAAAAATCTATTTCACAGAATGCTCACATTTCAGTCCTAGGGGTGGAAAATACCCTCAGACCTCCCTACTAGTACATACGATACCACACCAAACTTTTTGTCACCAAGAACCATCTGTCATCACTCCACACTTGATCAGTATAGTATGGTCCCTTTTTGTAGATGCTCACCCCCCCCAGACAAGTTCTTAAAAAAGCCCTGTGTTCAAATCATTTCGCTGTATGAAGACAGGCCATGGGTTAGGGTTATGGTAGGACAAATGTTGCATTGCAAAGTAGTAACATATAACAGGGTTCGAATGGACCATTCCCCAATTAACCAAAATTTTGATCTCAACAAGTCTAGACAAAATTCCACCATAGCATGAAAGAGCATCACAAAATTAGTAATATTCCAAAATTGCGTTGCAAAATGTTGTAAAATGCGGATAATATAGCCTTGCGAAGTTTGTAATTTTCAGTCATTTTGTATTACGCACAGAAGTGGTAACCATTTCCCGTTTGTAATCTAAAATGACTGAAAATTGCAAACTTCGCAAGGCTGTATTATCCGCATTTTACAACATTTTGCAACAAAACTTTGGAATATTACTAATTTTGTGATGCTCTTTCAAGCTGTGATAAAATTTTTGTCTAGACTTGTTGAGTTCAAAATTTTGGTTAATTGGGGATTGGCCCATTAGTTGAGAAAAAATGATGTGCAACTTTTTTAAAAAAAATGTGGCTCTAAATGTTTATAAAATAGGTTCATGATTGTCTTCGCTACTCAGTCAAACATGTACTCAAACAAATTGCAATAATTTAATGATTTCAAAACTTTTTAAACATTTTTTGCAATGTCATGCGTTTGTCTGTCATGGTGGCTAAAATTTGACACATTCCAGTCTGCAAACATGCTGCCAGTGTGCATGCAAAAGCACTTGTTTATAAATTATAAGACAACAGATTGGCTTTGTTTAAATCTATAAATATGGATGGTGTTCATTATGACATTAAGAAAAGTGATGTGCAGTTTTCACAATTTGGTCCAAAACGATGTGCAAATTGCACATTGGACACTGTTAATTCGAACCATGTCATTGGTTACCCTCCTGGGAAATTGACGTTCCCAAATTGACGTTTTCAATGTAATACTGAACGACTTGATTCGCCATCCCCCCGGACTGATTGACAAATGCTTCATTTTCTGAATCCTCAAAGAAGCCAGAGTTACCCATGGCGTTCGCCTGGGTTCCACCATATCCCCCACCGTAGCCGGTACTCGCTGCCGCCGAACCGATATTGCCGAAGCTGTTGGTCGCCTCACCACTGCCCCCGGTGTTAAAAGCAATAGCACCCGGTACGGCGTTGAATCCTGCAGCCGCCGCGTTGCTGTCAAAGTTATTTCCAGAACCTGAAAAAGAGAAGAGATAAACGGTTATGGAAAATTTTGTAAAATGTGATTGGCCGGAAAAAATTTTGAAGTTGAAAATTTTAAACTTTTTTTTGGACTCTGTCCGTGGAAATTTTGCTTCAGTGGAAATGTGCCTTAATAAACAATGTGAAAAGTCACTTTTCAAAGTTGTAACTGTAAATTCACCATTATACAAACAACTGCAGTGACAAAATGTGGTATTTTGCAGTGCCTGCACTCGCAGACTTGGAAGACACAGTGCCCAAAATGGCGGATAAACCGAGCGTGAAAATTGAAAAAGGCTTCGCAAGAACAAATTCGCCTAGTGGAAGGCCGGCTGAAGATTACTACAGATGTATTATGTAAATATCTCAATTGGAACCAATTCAATTAACTATTTCTTACTGAGATTTTCTATATTGCCATCTCTGGTAGTTGTTTACACTCCACGTGAATTTATTAATAAAACTTTGCCAGTGAAAAACCACATAAAGTCAAAACACTACAGTTCACATAATAAAGGTTTATCTTTATAATTATATCTCCTTGTATTTTTCAGATAGTTGTATCAATCCAAAGCTTTCTTATTATTGCCACTACCTACACTGGTACAGACCCTTCAAAATTATCTCTTTATCCCCGAGCCGGCGGCGCGAAGCGCCGTGCGAGGGTACTAATTCCGCACGGCTAATTATACCCGGGTATGTGAAAACATAGCGGAGTTCAAAGTTATCCTCCATTTTGTTTATGTCATGGACGGTTTTCGACGTTATGCGCATGCGCGAGTACAAAATCTGCCGAAGTAAATTGCTGTTCATTTTGAATGGACGTATTTTGCTGTTTTACAAGCAATGTTTTGTTTTACATTTCGTTAAAAAGTTTAAGAAAGTACAACACTTTTTTTTCCTCGATTTTAACTGGAAATATAAGCCTGCAGTTTCATGAATTAGTGGCTGTTCAACCGTGAAACAAAGTTTGTATAATAATTGTTTTAATGTTTTGATGTTGATATCTTTGATAATTTAATCGTTGTTGTGCCGGTTTGGGTAAGTGTAAACATTTCAGTAGTAAAATGCCATGCCGTACTTGCTTTGTGTTGTCGGTTTCATTCATATCTGCGAAGTTTTTAAGCCATTCTTAACTCGATAATTCACTTTAATTGAAGCTGGTATGCATGAAATTGCAGTCAATGTTATCGTTCATTATAAAGCTAGCGCATCACGGCATCAGTTATGTTTTTGTGTTTGTTGCTGCCGAAGGCAGCACACTATTCTTAACATGAAGTATTGCGTGCCTGCGTTTACTTGTGCCCAGTCTCTTTGGCCGAGTTATGTACAGTCGATCGAGATTTCGATTTGTGTCTTCAGTGTCTGTCTGTCTGTCTGTCTGTCTGTCTGTCTGTCTGTCTGTCTGTCTGTCTGTCTGTCTGTCTGTCTGTGTCTGTCTGTCTGTCTGTCTGTATGTAAAGATGTCGTAATTCCGGGGAACTACGGAACTAATTCCGCTACCTCCAAACCCTCCTGAATCATCTCTACCGCTTCGCATGCCATCATATCCTCCTCGGCCACCTCCTCGATATCTGAAATAAAACAAGACGCCTAGGCGGTCAGGCGTTCACACTGATCTGCTTGAAAATGAGGACATACGCGCTATGGTGTAATAGACAAGGGAGTGGGGAGCAAGAGAGTTCGTAGAAAAGTAGGGCCGTAGCTAGACAATACTCTTATGGTTTGTATATTCATATATTCATGTTCACATACCATAAAGACAATCGATTTCAAAAGAAATCCGTCGGGCAGAACACGAATATATGAATATACACCCCCCTCCCAATTAGCGTTCTAGCTACGGCCCTGCAGAACAGTTTGACATAAATTCGCTGGGTCCAAATTCTGCGGTTTTCGAGTCGTTACACAAAGAAAAACACATTAATTCAACACGCAAGAAAGTCCAGAGTGTGACACAACGTAAATCCATAGGAAATTGGCACAATTCTTTAAAAATTCAACGAAACTGTGTGAATTATATTCAGTGACAAGCCGCCATTTTGAAACTGAACTGAATATGTCACTGGAGCTCTATCCTTGGAGTTCGCAATTGTGCGCGTGTGTACAAGTGTATGGGCTAATAAAGAAAGATGTACCACAAGCATGGCATGAACCGGCTGCTAGGTACATAAATACGAGCTTGTTACTATAAAAATTAAATCAAGCAGTCGGGGAATAGCCCGCGTGCAGGCCCAAGGGAACTGATAGTGGGCCTGCAAGCAAGGGCCGGTATTTTATAAAACGCCCCTTTTCATAAAACGCCCCTTTTCATAACACGCCCCATTCGCGCGTCAATTGTCAAAAAAGAACCAATGACAGCACCCAAATATTAACAAACAAACTCGCATTAAAATGTTGCGGGGTTTTCTCTGCTTATTCAGAATATAAACGATGTCTAAATGGCTTGCGTTTTAACTCCAAAAAAGCAAGCAACGCCGTCAGTAATTGACAAATTTGCCGGTACTCATTTTCAACTAAAATCGGAACAGGCAAATTAAGACGAATTTCAACAGAAAACCAGTCTCAAACTTCAATTCGTGAGGGAAGTCGTGCGACCACATCAGCATTTATATTATGTGTGCTTCGCTGTCGCCATTGTTATAAATAAATTGTCTCACTTATCAGATCGTGTGTGCAATTCTTGTTGGCGGCGGAAAGCACGAAATTCATTTTAGTTATTTCATTTGGTAAATAACTCTACAAAAGAAGAGAGCGTTCAGAGTCCAGATCGTTTCGTTTCAAACGGCAATTTAATACCTGTTTCGTTTCGCTCTCTCAGCGAAGCCTTGTAAATCGCAAAGTGTTTTGAATAGGCTTACATGCAACTGAATCTCAACATCAACCAAAATATCATTTTCTTGGGGAACATATAACGTATCAAGTCTGTTTGAAATTAATGAAACTCAAGTGTATTAAAGGCTCTGTGGTATACTAGAGTTTACCCCAGTCGTAATGTTGCTATTCCAACACCTTACGACAAGCAATCCCCATTGGCATAACGGCAAAAACATCTCTTCCTTCAAGTAAACAATAAACAGTCTGTTCTTGTTCATTTGTAATCGAAAAAAGTGATCAATTTTCGAATTTTAAGCTTATCGAGAGCCTTTGTCTATGCCTTTGTGATGAATCACTGACCTAATTATAGAATCCAAAAGCAAACAGCCAATCAGAATGCCGCGTTCGTGGGCGAACGCGGAAAGTACAAAATACCGGGCCTTGCTTGCAGGCCCACTATCAAGTTCCCTTGAGCCTGCTCCCTTGGGCCTGCACGCGGGCTAGTCGGGGAATCGATGGCATTTGAATCGATGGCATTTTGGCTTAATCGTTGCACCCTGAGCCTGCGATGCGCTTTCTCGACGACGAAGAAAACAGAAAATTAGGGATTTAAGACACTTGACCTTTCGGGTCAGTGTAATAATAAATTGTGTTCATATTGTTCAAAAGAAAGCGATGTCACATTTACATGAGACCAGGACGAACTCAAAACCAGATAATTTCGGTTCGGTCACAATTTAAGTCTCAACAAAATCACAAAAAACAACTTGCAAGCTTGATGCGAGTGTTTGTATCCAATAAAAACAAAATGTCGAGCATTGTGATGAAATCCAGTTTGCAAGTTCACTCTTGCAATGAATGGAAAAGAAGCTATAGAGTTGTCTCCGGCCTCGTTCTTCCGCGGATCCTGCTAATAAATCGGGATTGACCCACTGTTTCCTTTATAACTTTCTAGGAGCGTAAAAGCTCAATGTACTACAAGCACACACCTTCGTTCAAAGCCGCTAGGTCGTCTGCTGACATCGGAGCCTCCACTAACGGAAGATTCTCTTTCATAAAGTTCAAACCTGGTCGGTCGTCGTGGCATCGACGGCGGTCGCGAGTGTGCTTCTTGTACGGAAGTACGTGGATTCTCATCTGCAACTGAAGTTAGGCTTGGATCAAATGCAGCTCTTGTCATGCACCAACTTGTTTAATGGACTATTACTTTTAAAAAGCAACCCTTCCCTGTGTTGAGGACCTCTGCTTTTGGGGATTTTTACCCCTCTGGGGCCGGTTGTTCAAAAGGCGATCAGCTTAACCCTAGGTTAACCTAAAATTCAAAGCAAACTTCCTGACAGCTTGTCTATAAATTAGGAAATATTTCTTCAGAAATCTTGTTGGGGTCAACAGGAGTTTACTTCTCTGAAGTTTTGAAATAAACAGACGTGCAGAAATACGCAAACTAAAACAGCAGGTTAAAGTGCTAACCCACCTCTGAACAACCGCGGCCCCTGGAATGAATAAAAATCTGTGCAATTGACCCCTGGAAGAGACTTGAAACCCCTCTGGAAGAGCATTTTTAACATAGAGATTATAAATAACACTAGAGCGGGCATCGTAATCTTAATTCAGTCAAAGAAAGGGAACGCGGCTATTGGGGGCCAAAAAATTAAAATGCTAAAATAAGAGCGAGTTTGAGCCAAATCTCTAAATTCTTGTTTATGGCAGTTAAGTAGTCAGTTTTGATTTTTACCAAGCATTTTTACCACAATTTTGTCTATAACAAACTTTTGAGAGCGCTCCAAAATAATGCTGATGTCAGCAATTTTGATCTTTTCAAGAGGAAATTCGTCGTTTGAATTCAAAATATAAAACATCCAGTTTGGTGACTCTTGTTTTAATTGTTTGTGGTTTCAAGTGTAATCCAAGAACTGTGCGGTGTTTATCCGTGATTTCAATTTGCCCCCATTACCGCGCTCCCAAATTTGATCCTCGATGCTCCCTCTAGTGTTATTTATAATTTCTATGATTTTTAACCCTTCTGGAAACAGTATTTTTCACAATACCCTGTAGAAAATAGTCCCAGTCTGATTTTTTTGCACATCGTTCGGAAAATTAGTGATGTGCAGTTTTCACTATTTGGTCCAAAACGATGTGCAAATTGCACATTGCTAATTCGAACCCTGATGGAGGAAAAGGAAAAGTCCACCTTATCACAACCTGCACACCCAATCACCTAAAAATACATGAACTTACGGTTACAGCTCAACAGCTGGCCTCTGTAGCTCAGTTGGTTAGAGCGCTGCACCGGAATCGCAGGGCCGCACGTTCAATTCCTACCAGAGGACCTTGTGCTGCACTTTTTCACGGTCGTTCCTGGTCAGGTCTTAAATTAAAGTCTATATATACTCACTTGGATTACAAACCCTATAAACAGCATTGTAATAAGAATAGCCTGTGTAGCTGCCAGTTTTTTGGGGGGAGGAAAACGGCTGGTTAATTTTGCAGGTTGCAGGTTGCAGGTTTGCAATTCCCTACATCCAGACGATGAATGAGATCAGTGACTGATCTCCACTTCCGGTTTTCAGCATTCTCTGTGGCATGACGGCGAGTTATTTTCATGCAAGAATCAATTTATTTTGATTTTGAAACTCAATGTTTACCGATAAAAGGCAGTTTAGTTTTAAGAACATTTTGAAACGTTTTGCGAAGCGTTTGTGGTTGATTTTTACATTAAATTGAAGCTTATATTATGTATAATAACATACCTAGCATATACATGTTTGGGAATTTAATTGATCATTTTGGGGGGATTTTTCAATTTTAAAACTATTCTCAAAATTATCATGTTACCATGACTATTCTTCGTGTTTAGAAAACATAATAGTTTTGTCAGCAAGGCGAGGGTTTCTGCATGCATGTATTTTCTAGTATAGCTTATAATAGACATTTGCTGTATTCTATATATACCAGTATTGGTATTTTTGTTTCAATAAAGTTATTGTTTGTGATGAAAACCGGAAGTGGAGATCAGTAACTGATCTCATTTATCATCTGGATGTAGGGAATTGCGAACCTGCAACCTGCAAAATTAACCAGCCAGGAGGAAAACCAGCCGCTACACAGGCTATAATAAAAAAAAAAGGATGAAAAGGACAAATGATAGTCATCTGAATATAAGGAAACACAGACGAAATCAGTGGCGTAGCCAGAATTTTTAGTCAGGGGGGGGCAAAAAATCCAGGGAGGGGCCCAAGCAATTTTACCCTGCGCTAGTTTGAACAAAGTTGTGTGTTTGTGAGAATGTATTTGGCTTCCCATGATGTCCATGCAAAATATACAGGGCTTTCCAACTCAGAAAACTGCACGCACGATTATTAGTCGTTAGTATCAGGGTGCTTATAAGTTCTCTGCGCGCCCCCAGAGGAAAGCTCTGAATATAGTACAATGAACTTTTAAGGGCGTCCGGGGTAATGCTCCCCACAAAAATTTTTAAATTCTATTCAATTTTTTTTCAGCATTTTGAGGGCTATTTTAATGTGTTTAGGTGATTTTAAATAACCATTTAACACATAACGATCCAGACCATTTAAAACATAGGAAGATATAAAATTTCCATTACAAGAAATGAAAATATAATGCACATGCTTGCACTGGTCAGAATTTTTCCAACGGGAGGCCCAATATTTTACCACTGGATGAAATGTATGAAAGAATGAAGGGAATATTATGAAAGGTAAAATCTCTGGTTGGAGGGATAGAAGGGAAAAAATAAAAGGATGGAATGGCACAAAGATGAATGGATGAAAGGATGATTGATGGAATGAGAAATGGGACAAATGAAGAGGGAGAAATAAATAAATGAATAAGGCAAAATTATAAATTTGGACAATTAATTAAATTTATTTTTAAAAATCCAATTTCATTCCGGTAAAGAAGAATGACTCCATACCTTGGGTGTCTTCTGCTTCTTCGTAGTGAGGCCAGCCTTGTAGCACAACAGGCCATTTGAACATATGGTGTACAACAGATGCCGCCATTACACTAGCAAATTGCTTCCAAAGTTTCGCCACCTCTTCCAAATCACTTTCACCCGCCAAATCTGATACACCTTTGATAATGGCCCATTCCATCTTAAGATCACATGCTGCTGCATATAAACCTAAAATTTAAGCACAAAATAAAAAAAACACTTGATGCGATGAGAAGACCTGATCATTTTATATACCTCCTGCTGATGTATTTAGCAGCCAAGTTGTGCATATGAGCCTTTCACATTCGGGCTAAAAATGTGAAAAATTTCTAACCAGTTGACATATTTATTCACTGGCTTTAAGCCTTTCTGGTGTGGAGTACACATGCAGAACCATGCACTAAGTGGTAGGAAGCTTCTACCTACCTTTTCCCCCTATTTCAATAACAAGTGCATTTGGAAATTTTTTTTGTAAGTCTCTTACTCTTTCAGGATTTTCAATATAATTTGAGCCACTTAACATCAAACCTTGATGAACTTTGACTTTAAAACTATTTGGTTCTTTTAATGGTGGTTTCCAACCATCAGCCGCAGACAGAATCAATCTTTCCATATTCCGACTCAAATCCATTTTGGAGCTACAATATTCAACTGTGCCGTCAGGTCTGAATTGAAGTTGATAAGTTGCCAATTTCGAAGAAATCACAACATCACCAAGTTTTGCTATTTCCGGTTTTATGGTTTCACAGATCCCGACCAAAAGGGCAACTTTAGGGCGCAAATCTCTGACAGCATTTATCACTTCAGCCGTCTGAATTTCGCTCGCTCCCTTTCCATGTCTCATCAATGCGACTTTCACATTCCGACCATTTTCATGGCTAAATTGACCAAAATCTACCATTCCCAGTTTCAGCAAGTAACGTCGTTGAATTTCTTCCATACGTGAATAGCAAGCAAGGAATGCATTGTCATCTGCTACAGTTAACAGAATATCTGTTTTCACTGTATTTTGTGGCCATTCTTGTGGTTCGCTTTCAACATTCTCCAATTCTAGGAGCGTGAAATTATTAAGTTGTGGTGGTCGAGCCATAGATATCTACCAGGGCGCTTATATATGCGGTAAGCAGAAATTTTTTTTGGGATCACTTTCGTTGGGAGCTTTGTAACCGCGCCTGTTATTATGCAATAGGGAAACTTTGCCGGTGGGAAAAAGATCACCGACTCACCGTTAATAAATATTCAATGAAACTTTCGGTTATTACTGCTCGGTTATTATTAAAACCTCGTGACTGTATTATATGTTTTATCAGTGCATATAAATAATGCAGTATTTACTGTACTTTTCAAAGAACACAACATTTTTAAAGAGCAAAACACAGAGCAACTTTGTGAGGTAAGATGAGAAATGTCGGTTATATTTATGTATTTACATATAATAGCAGCATATGGGACAATTGTATGGGACATATGTTTACAATAAATTGTATATTATTTGCAACCTTATAAATCAGGTTCTGCTCTCAGGGTACAATCCCTAATATTATTAAGATGTGACATAAGTAAGTATAAAGATGTGAATAAGTACTAAAGTATAATTTATATATTTTATAATACATTCATATTTTATAATAAATTAATGAAAATTTAATAAGTATATACAAATTTTTGTGCAACAAATTGTTATATCCCAATGGCAATGTTGACCATTCCATGTACAGTATTATATATTTTATACCCTCACTTTATCTCCCAGGTAATTTTATAATGGTATGAAAAGCATATGTAAATCTGGGCTGTTTAACTTTATACTAAGCTCACATATATCACCAACATATGGAACACAACCGAGCAATGAATACTGTTGATTATCGAAAAAATATTGTATGTACAATGCCCAACTGATGAATCAACTAACAATTGACTAATTGGTTGTCGTTTAGGGAGTGGTCATTATTTATGGGGAGGGGGGTTGGTAAATGGGAGGGGGGCAAACAAAGTTTTACCCTTATAAATAGGGAGGGGTCAAAAAAGTTTTTGAACTAAAATACAATGTCTAGAGTTCTGATTTCTATAATCACAAATAGCAAAAGAAGACTCTGAAAATTATGCCATTTCCAACAACCTAGAGACTGTAAATTTTCAAAATTTCCCCGCTCGGTGCCAACCATGGTAGCGCCTCGTGGGAGTCAGGCCTACTAAGTTTAACAAGCTTCCTACCCCCTGAGTGACCCAGTTGTGGTATTTACATAAACATACCATGCAAGTACACTTAGCTGATCAGATTTGGTCTATCAAAGCACAATGTAACGCTGTATATCCCAAAATCTGTTTCAGAAAATGCTCACATTTCAGTCCTAGGGGTGGAAAATACAAAACATTTTCTGGGGGAGAATACCCCAGACCCCCCCTACTAGTACATATGATACCACACCAAACTTTTTGTCACCAACAACCATCTGGCATCTCTCCACACTCAGTATACAGTAGTATGGTCCCTTCCCCCAGATAATAATACATAATATACACATAATATACAGTCACATATATAACACATAATATATATTTTTTAATCATATATGGTTGAATCATATTCACCAGGGTAAAACATCATGAGCTAGATTAAACAGATTGTCCTAATATCTAACTTTACCTGCAACACACATCTGTTTCATTGCTGTTAATTTTCAATCCACACTGGTGGGGGTCAGAAAAGTTTCTACTTTTATGAGGGGGGACACAAAAGTTTTCCTTCAGTCTGGAGGGGTCAAAAAGTTTTTCCTTATTTTGCCCATTTACCAACCACCCCCCCCTCCCCATAAATAATGACCACTCCCTTATTAGAACATATATATCTTCTCGCAACCGTTTAATGTTCTGTTTATTATATTAACTTATTCAGAGTGACAAAAATACACAAAGACAACATGTAAATAAGCAGGCGAAAGACCAGTACAAAAGCGATATTTTTTTTTTAATTATGGTGCAAACATAAAACTAGAATAAATTTTACTTATCTCAAGATGTCTTTTAAATGTTTTGGTTTTATTTCCTACATTCCGTTCATTGTATATGCAAACAAAAGACCATTTCTATTTTCAAAACAACAACAATAAAAATGGCGGGAAATTTTCGAACTTCGTATGTCACTAGCAGGGGTGAAATATGGAAAATACTCGCATCTGGTCCCGGATGTAGTGACGCATGAGTTCTACAAGTTTTAGTTTCCAGTAAAACACCATTGTCTATATAATAAATATAAATATATGCCTTTCTTCAACACAGATGGAAAAATATAGTGTGTTCAATAGCCATGTGATCACTGTCCAATCATATTGCTCAATAATGTATCTCAATAATGTATCTGTTAATATGAAATGATTACCACTTATTCTTAAATGACAAAAGTAGGGTACATGCTGTAGGTTCTTATACCCAATATTTTACACTGACAATAACATACCATAATCCAAGAGTGGAAACTAGATACCATATTTGAAATCACAGTAGAGAAAATTCTGACCAATAGACCTTATGCATAATGACGTCACAAGGCTTGAAGCCTGTGAGGAATGCTGGTCTTAGTAGTCATGTCGCCTGGGAAAATTAAACAATTCAAAATGGCCACTATTGAAATTTTCCTGGGTGATGACTAAGACTAGCATTCCTCGCGGGCATCAAGCTTTGTGACGTCATTGTGCATAAGGTCTATTGCTCCCTTCAGCACATGAAGTAGATAGCCCCCAACAATAGCACAAATGGTAGGAAAATATTCATGGTCACTATGCATTCCTTTCAACAGCAATGGATGCTTTGAGCAAGCCAAAACTCTGGTACAGTAACAAACGTTCTCCCAACACCCATGCATCCTCTTAACCCTTTAAGCACCCTGATTGATGTGCCCTACTTTAATGTTTTACTGTGTCTAATGCCAGACGATTTTACTCATTGAGTGGAGAGTGCTGCCGTTCAATTGGTTAATAAATGCAATGTCAAAACATAACTCTCTTCCAAAAGCAGCGGTGGGATCACAATTTGATAAGTACAATGTTCAAAGGCAGGTTTCTTCTGACAGTCACATTAGGATCACAGTATACTGTAGGTCTAAAAAGACAAGACTGTCTTGGTAATATTTGTGTCAACACAAACATGATTGGATAGTAAATGCTATGAATGTTCAAAGGTAGTTTTCATCCAAAAGCAGCAGGAACACGGGTCCAATAAGTGCAATGTTCAAAGGTACATATAGTTTCCAACAGCAGCAAAAATACGGGTGTAATAAGTGCAATGTTTATTCAAGGTTATTACTTACTGTTCAGTTACTATCATCTTTTTAAATATCTCTTTAATTCTGTAAGCTTGATTGTTACTACTCGTTATCGTTTTGGTCCAGCATTTGCAAGGTTTTTCTTTACATTCATACTCAAGTTACGTTGGCGTTTCTTTTTGGCTAATTTCCTTATGTTCATTTTTTCCTTATCATCTGCTTGCCACTTTCTTTTCATCCCTGTCTGCAGCCTTGGTTTAGGACCTGAAGGTTGAGCAGAAGATGACTTCACACCAGATTTTCTTCGAGAGATTGATGTTGGCTGAACACGTATTCTTGACCCGTTGTGCAAGACTGGAATAAGATTGCTGCTTTGTTGCTTTCCGAAATGTACAAATGCATTTGCAAGCGATGCTACGGGGGAGTGGCCACGGCATTTTGTTACTATTTTTCGGTACGTCCTTAGGAAATTGTAATAACATTTCTTAAAGTTATCATCTTCGTTTCTTATTTTTAACTCGATGTCGGCTGCAACTTCCTGATGCAGTTTAAGAATTTCCTTGAGGGCTACAGGTTCGTCTTCTGTATGGCCTAGGACGGTGTCATGCCAACGTTGCTCGTCTTCCTTTACATCCTTTTCCTTGTTTTGCTGAGGCACCGTTTCAATTCCATTTACATCTTTCTTCACATTCATAACGCTTTCAGATTTTTCATGCAGCTGAACAAACTGTCTTACTTTGAGTTGGGGATTATCTCCTATTGCTAAAACAGCAAGCGCGTATCGATCTTGAGCGGATCGTGGAATAAAGTTGATGTTACCACCTCCGTACTTTAAGGCAACCGCAGCTTGATGTGCACAACCTGAGCCATTTTCTCCATGTGGACAGGTGCAAATCCCTAAACTGGTGTCAACTTGGTAAGTGAGGTCCTTGTTCTTTCTGCTTGTAACATTAAAATGAAAAGGATTTTCGATGTCCCTGGTGATGTTGTCAACTGGCACTGTACTCGCATTTCTTCCAAAGCATCGCGCAGTAACATGAAGATTTTGTGGCTTACCGAACGCAAGAGCTAACAGTTTCCTTTGGAAATACATCTCCAAATCCTCAGTTATGAATTTCACTAATTCTAACAAGTTATACGCTCTGATACGCTTTAAGATGACACATTTAAAAACGAAAATCATAGATTCCGTAAAGTTGTCTGTGTTATTTCCTCTTGTCAGAAGTCCTTTTCTAAAACAAAGTGCCCATTGTTCTTTTCTTTCTAACGCATTTTTAATGTAGTCATAGAAATTACGATACTTTAACACCGTTTTGTCTGTCTGCATCTGGGTTTCATTGACATGAAATTTTTCTTCTGTGTCCGCGAATACCAGTCCTTGGCAAAGGGACATTAAGTGCTGCCGATCATGTTTATTAATGGCATTGGTGCTATCCAAAAGCCATCTCCAAACAGCTTGAAGGAAGTGAAATATACATAGAAGAAGAATGGATGAACGCCAGTATGCACGCAAAGCATTTCTCTGAGCACTGTCGTCATCGGTGAGAAAAATTGAAGGACCAGATGCTGCCCCCTTTCCACCAAATGCATGTTGCGGTAGCACTGATACAACGTTCTGTAAGCAACTATTCAAAGTGGATTCTGACTGGCTGGAAGTTATCCACACTGCTAAAGGAAGGGCACCAGATGGATGATGAGTACACATAAAATAAACTGGGTTATTGTGTCGATCAAGACTCCCAGATGCATCCATGAAAGCCATTTCACCAGCCTGCCGTAACTTGTGTACACGTGACATCATTGGAGTACATATGGAAATGATCAATGGTTTCTCCTGCTTTACTTCGTTGTTATATCTTTGTAGAAAGATTTTGCCACCATCATTCATTTTGTCTTTATTATATGTTGTAATATACTCTTGCAGATAGTCAAACATTTCAGATCCATTACATGGTCCCTTTGTTGTTTTTCTCCACTTCTCATAGAGATTATTAACGTCTCTCAAGGATGGGCAGTACTTTCTATCAGCTAAGAGAAGAACGGTAACAGTATCTTTCATTAACTTTGTTTCGTGATAATGGAACGACTCCGACGCAGACATGCCCTGCTCAAAATAAGTTAGAAATTTGTGTCTCGTTGCAGGTAAGATTTGGCTAAAGCTGGTAAGGTGATGACAGTCCACGCTGTGGTTGTGATTCCACCATAATTCCACATTACAGACAATTCCTTCCACTGCTTTAGTATGCACTTTTATTACCATTTTACTCTCACAATCTGTTTTTTTATCGCGGATGTTGGATAGTAAATGGATCTTGTCAATGACCTCGACATTAGCAGCATGAGTGTCGTGACGCTCCTGCCTACGTTTCATAGCTTCGGCTTTCGCTTCTTTTTGGTTCCTGCTCAGTTCCTTTCTTTTACACTCGCAAATATACCACTGGGCAAATGAAACTCTGACACCTTTTCTCTTATAGCCACCTTGAGAATTGTATTTAATGTTTGACGATGCTGCAAATTCAGAAACCCATGTTTCGATTTCCTTTGGTGTTGACACATTTTTAATGTTAAATTTAACTCTATATTTCTTAGATTCCGTAGTATCGTTGTCCGGAAGTTCTTCATATTCCAAGTATTTATAAACAGCTGTTGGTGGAAGTATGCACTGTACATGCTGGGGTAATACATCAGCATTAGTTTCTTCAGGTATATTATCCTGCATAGCAAGTGAGTAGCAATGATCTTGAAGGATTGCATTTGCATTGCCGTTTTCAGACGGTGATGATGTGAGAGAATCCGCACCAATGTCCGATGTTTGTTTGCACCTGTTGCTGCCTTCGCTGCTGGCAAATGGAATCGATAAACACGAAAGCTTGTTTGCTGCTATGTCCAGTATTAACGAGTAACGGAAGTCATTTATATGTCGTTGCTTAAAATCAATCATCCTACCTTCAGCAATATGCTGTGCCCATTTTACCACAAACACGCCACAATCGACTGAGTTCAGCTGTTGTTCAATGTCGTTCGCTGGAATTGCAAAAAAATCCCACTCGTCAATACTATACTTTTGTCCTTGTAATTTCATGGCACATGCAATGAAATTGCCAACGCGTTGGAATGCCCTTTTTGCCCCTATTCCTTGAAAAAGAGAATCCAGATAAACCATTCGTTTTATTGCTGGGTATACA